TATTTTTTTTTCTTATTCTTTTTTTATAATTAAAATTAAATTTTTAAAAATATTCATTTTGTAATTCAATAAATTTTACCTTCTACGGTCATCCGCCATTTTTTTGTAAAGTAAATTTGAAATAAAAAATATGGCGCCTAATAAAATAAATTTAGAAAATTGTCTAATTTGACAATTATTAATTATGCACAGGTAACAGCTTTATTTGTAAGGAATCTATCTTTGAATATGCCGCAACAGAAGATCAAGGAAATATTTCAAAAATCAACGAATATACCTATTTTGAAGTTGAAAAAAATCAATCATTTTGCGTTTATACATTACGAATCACGACAAGCCGCACAAATAGTAATGGATATAATGTCGCGTGAGTCAAATTTTTGTGTATCTCTTTATAAAATTTAAATATATAAAAATATATAAAAAAATATATATAAACTCAAAATCTTTTAAACGTGATGTAAAAATTGCGGTAATTTTACTAAACATTATATATGTTACCGGAATAGTGGGAAATCTGGCAATGTTAGCAATTCCCTGGCATTGCCCTCAATGCAAAATGTTTTTTGACAACGTAGGAAATTTATTCATATCTCTCAGATTTCTTATTGTTAGATATTCTGTTGAATGACAAATGAGAAATCGTTAAAGTAAAAAAAAACAGATATAAAACATTTTGTTCTAAACCCGCTTATCTTCCGTTACGATAAGGAACAAAAGATACAGATTTTCCATGGTAATCTCTATGAATATCGGTCTAAACGTAAGATAATCTTCTACTACAATACCCTACATAATAAAACACCGGCATAGAGTAAGTTCCAGTTTCTACAAGTGCGCATAGTTTAGCGGCACGCACAGTCTCAAAAATCCGCTCCATGCTCGTTTTCGTGTGTGTGTGTGCGCGCGCCTGTTATCCGATAATGTATTCTTTTCAATATTGCCTAAATAGCATTTGGTGTTCTATTATAAGTATTATGTCCAATACTTAGGAAAAGTCCGTAACAATTCTTCTGCTTCCTACGTTGTCAAAAAACGCTTCGCATTGAGGGCAATGCCGGGGAATTGCTAACATTGCCAGATTTCCCACTATTCCGGTAACATATACATATATATATATTGATCATCTATTTTACAAAATATTGACTCAAAATGTTTGAAAATACTGATAAAATAAATAGAAGTATTTTAATATTTCTTTTTTATTTTTAAATATTTTATTTGATGTTTAATTTATTACGTAACTATTTACGTTTAATTTCTAAATTTCATACGTATGTTATATTTTTGGTAACAATAGAACGCAATAGCATTGTAGAGCAAGAAGGTTGGGAAATTCGTTGGGCGAAACCGATTTGTGCATCTAAACTCTTAGAGAGGCAGAAATGTATAAATGAAGCTGCGTCAACTGGTAGAAATGCTCGTTTCAAGCCATTATTGTCGAAGAATTACTATCTTCAAGCACTTCCAGAGGTATACGAGGAAAATAATAATAAAGGTACCGCTCACGTCATCGCATTACAAAGTTTGGTTAAGGAAAAGTTAGGTGCAATGTGCTCCTTTGAATGTTGGAGAGCAGTTGATACTCCTGGATATATTTGTAAGGTAAGATCGACAAATAAATTCATAATTACGAGAATTATAAATTACATATTTTTATATCTAAAAACTTCCCTAGATTTATTGCTAAAGATTTAATTTTCCTTTAATATTTTTTGTAAAAATTTAAATAGATTTACAGTTAAAAAAAAGAATTTTAATATTGAAAATAATATTTAACATACAACTTGTCTTTTTGTTTTTTTTACTTTTCTTTATTCTGCATTAATTTATACTAATAATACATTTGTTCAGCAGTATATGCGTGTATAAAACGTTTAAATCAGAAATATTAAAAATCTAACAATAAATGTCAAAGTGAAGGCTACAAAAAAAAAAAAGAAAAAACATAAGAATATTGTCCAATTATTAGTCTTTTTTATGGCGAGCACGTCACTGGTTTTTTTTCTCGGCTACAGGCTAAAAAAAGAAAAAAAAAAGAACTCGCCAGCAAGAATACTGACTTCTTTTTTTTTCTCTTACTCGTGATTTTTTTTTAATACGCGTAACGTTATAGCAAATACGTAAATGTATCTAATTCCTTGGGAGGACTTCTTCGTATTTTCCAACCATATTAATTCCAGGAACTTTCCATGAGGAAAGGGAGAGAGGGAGAGTGGTGAAAGGGAAAAAAGAGGTAGGATTCAGGGAATCTAAAGTCGCTGTTTAGGTAGTTTTTATAAGTAACGAATATTTCTCAACGTGTATTAATTATCAATATTTTAATTACTGCAATGTTATATCGTAGATTATAAATTTTTTTATAGATAACTAAAAAAATAAAAATCGGACACCTGATTAATTAGTGTAATGTACCAACATTGGCCGGATTAAATGAGTTATACTAAATCACGATATTTGCCAGAGATAATTTCTTTTTTTTATTATAGATAACTATTTTCAAAGGAAATGCCACACTTTTTGAATATCATGGAGAAGTAATGCCTTCGAAAAATAAAGCAATTAGTTCGACATCGTTAAAAATGTATCATTACTTGTCTAAATCGTATACAAATCATCCTGGTAAGATTTTGTCTTTCTTTTTTCTTACAACAAATCAAAGTTTAATCGACAAAAAAATAGTTTCTGTTAGATTAGAAACTTTTCACACAAAACTCATGTATATAATTATAATATTATTTCAATATTTAATCTTTTTTTAATTATTATTTATTTTAATTATTATTTTATTTTTTTTTATAGGCAATCAGAAAATTGCACAAGATTACACGCAACAAAACGTTGTGGAATTTGATGGAACGCAGTTTTATACATTGATAAATCCATTGTACAATACCTCTATTAATGGAAGTTATTAATTTCTTAATCGTAATCAGTAATACGCGTCGTAGAAATCTACGAAAGAAATAAGTCAAAATTAATGTTCAAATGAAACCAAATTATTTTTGAAAACGATTAACTACAATCATTAGAGATTCTAAATTGATAAAATATATAATAACTCGCACGAAAACTTCACGTGATTTTGAAGTTTACATTTACAATTTTAAACTTTCCAATGAAATGTTACAATAATTATATACCATATTGATTATAATCAACTTTGATATCAAATTCAATGAGTATATAGAAACTTTTTATATAAAATTCGCTTTGATGGGTTTGTAATAATCATTTAAAAAAACATATTCTAAATGACATCGCTTTGTAACGAATCTAATTGAATTTAAAACAATGTACAGGTCAAATGTTATTCACTTTTAGCGTGAGCCGTAATAGTTAATGTGTTTTATTATTAACATTAATCGCTAATGTATTTACAGAATCGTTACTTCTAATCATTATCTACGTAGAAGAATCTTAAGTTAGATTTATATTGAAACATAAATACTCTATCATTGTTTTATATGACATATATGTTTAAAGTTATTCACATTTAACATAAAAATAACATAATATAAAAAATAGATCATTATAAAAAAAAAATATATATATATATAAAAAAGATTGTTGGAATTTCCAACTAGAGAAAAAGTTATTATTTTTCTTTTATAATATTAGATATTAAAAATATGAAAATAACTTTTTTATTTATGTTTTTTTTTCATACGTATACAATGACTTTTATTTAATTATATATATATATATATACATATATATAAAAATATTATTATATATAATAATATATAATATTATTTTAAAAAGCTAATTGTAAAAGATTATAAAGTATCTACTCGTTTTATCGTAGAGAAACTAATAATCTTTAATTTACTTACAACGTTAGCATAGGATAAGAAATTAACGTTTAGTTTCTTTATACTTAACATTTATGTTACATATTTTATAAATTGATAAGAATAAAAGCCAAATGGTTAGAAATGATCTCAATGTTCTTGTTCATTTCTTTTAATAGACATTATGGAATAATAAATGTTTCTATGAAACGATACTATGTGTAACAGTTATTAAGAAAATGTAATTGCATAATGATCTTATGTTTAGATGTTAAATTATAATCCGACAAGGTACGATTATCTTCTAAAAAATAACCACCGCTCCATAATTTTATTCTTATTGGTGACCAATCTTGATTTCCTTCTGATTTATAGATGCAAGAAATTCTTTGCTTCAAAGATTTAATTGTTTCATACCAATACGTACGAATCTTTCTTTGACGTCCGTCGAGAGTCAGGATTGTGATAGTTCCAGGTTGACAACTACATTCTATTTTAGGTAAGAAATTTATATAATTATATACAAATAAAGGTTTACGTATTTAAATATAACGTGTATTAAATTTCTACCACTTTTATAGCAGGACATTGATAAACGAATGAGCTCTGTAAGAAAATGTTTAATTTTTATTAAATATGCTTAAAGTTGAAAAATTCACAAATTGTATGATCGCAAATGATGAAATTAATTTAAAGGTTAATACATTTAAATTGACGTTTCCCTGACAATATGTTAACAAATCATTGCATACAGAAGAAAAAACATGCCCGGAGCAGACGTGTTTATTTTTGTCTCTCCCTTCTCCGAAAATTTTTGTATCCCCACCATTTATTATCTTCCACTGGCGAGCAAAAGAAGAAAAGAACGGAACATGCGCAGAAAAAGAAACCTTGCGTTGCGACAAGTGACGATGGTGAGGGTAAACGATACAAAACAACGAGACAGTTTCATTCGTGCGTTACTTCTCGCTCGTTGAGGGAGGACAGCTTTTCGGAGAATTTACCATGTGACATATTTGTTTGTTTATATAAATACAACGAGGACATTAATAATATTATATACTTTATAACGATAATAATTCAGTAATAATATATATATCTTTAATTAATTAATAATATCAGAAAATTTTTTCAAAGAAATTAAATAATATTATATATGTGTAGAGATATTTAAAATAACAAATTGTTTTACAATACTGTAATATTTATTTAAATATAAACTAATCAAAAATTTCAATATTATTTATACAGTTTAATAATTAACGACAATCACAATATAGATTTTCATATAGTATTCGGATAACATTTTTTTTGTTAATTATATTTAGTTACATCTTCATATACGTGAATTTATTATATATTTATGACGTAGTATTACAGTTGAGAATTAGAATTATAACTTAATGAACTATGTGCTCGTATCATAGGAAGTAAAACTCTATTATAATCTTGAAGGATCATACGTATTGTTTGATAATCCGTGTTTTGAGTAACATTCTTTGGTCTTGCGCAGCTGATCAATCTCTTGGCTTCCGGAGCGCATCCAACATCGTTTGCCCATCCAATAGGAGAGAAGTGCAAAGTATCGTACGTAAAGTCCAACAGTTTCCTGACAGCACAATCGATTACACTATCATTCGGAATTTCACCCTCACCGCTTTCCATGCAATCTTTTATCGCGTTGCTCATCCAATTCCAATCATCCCATTCGCTAGAGTAATCAACATTTTGGTTCTCCATTTGCCAGGTTAACATGGCACGATATCTGGAATTACATTAACAAACAATTTGTTTATTTTTAAAAATCGAAATACGATCATTTTTTTCTTTTTTTGTACATTTTATATTTTCTACTTACCCCCAATTCCAAGGATTTTTACCAAATCTAATTCTTTTCAAGTTCCCCATATAAACGAACATGTTATAGTCTATAGTTTGAAAGTTATTATAATCGATGTAAAAGTTTTCCAAGTAAGGAAGCAACGGGAAGACGTTATAATCCATGGTTTGTATTTGATTGAACGATAAGTCGAGAGTTCGAAGATTATAAAGGTTTACGAACCAATCATCAATTATCCATGTCAACTGGTTACCCCATAGTATTAGTTCATTCAAATTTACTAATCCTATGAAAGCTCGAGATTCTAATACTTTGATATTATTTTCATGTAGATCCAAAACTCGTAAAGTTGCGCTAAATTTTACGAAGGTTTGTCTTCTCTCGTTAAAATAAAGAAAAAATATATATATATTTATTATAAACAATTATTTCCTTCAAGAATTGTAACATTGTTAAATTTTAAAATTAATTTATGCTCGCTCACCCCTCGATAGTATTTAAATTAGATCCATAAATTTTAATATTCGTTGTATTACTTTGTGCCGATTCCAAATAGTCACGTAAAGTCTTTAATTCTGTACAATCGAAAGTTATTCTATTCGAAAATGTCGACGTTATTGTTCGACAAAATTTCTTCGAATAGGTGTGACCAAATAAATAGAAAACGAGGAACAAGAATAAAAACCTCATTTTTGTTTTATATTATTTTCTTTTTTTATCCTTTAACGTCAAGAACTTGGCACACGAAGGAGATCTCGCGACAAACTGAATATTTTTAACGATATTATTATCAGTTACATAGTCGCACAGAGTGGTGGGTGTCTTTCTCGTTTCTCATTTCAATGGAAGGATGATAATATTATCTTTCGGAAACTTCCGGATACGTTTTTATATACTTTTACAATTCTCATGTAATAATTTCTCTTATTTTTCTTTTTTTAATATTGTAATACATACTTTGCCTTAGCCATGAGATTTTTACATTTATTAAAATTTCATTTTGTTAGTCCAGGTGTATTATATTTTGTACGATTTTGCGGTATCGATGAAACGAAATAATTTTATTTGAATTTGTATTTTTCTTTTTTCTTTTTATAAAAAAAGGGAAGAATTTGTATAAATTATTTTGTTCTTTATAATACAAACAACATTTATTGTCATGCGTATATACATTGAAGTGAATATAATTTAATCTTGGGCAAACCGAAAACAATTTCGGTCCTTATGTATCATTAATTCTCCATTTAATATCTGATTTTAAAGAAAAAGAGAATAATCTTTGTTTTCCCAATTTTTTAGAGTATCAAGAATTTTGTATCAAAACGAAGGAAAGATTTCTCTACCGTAAAACAACAATGGTCATACGTTGTAGGTATCCTTATTGTCATAAAAATGTTCTCCTTTTTTTTATTTTTAAGGGGAGGAAGGAGTTTTTATTTACACCACAACACGAATTTTTTACTTCCGTGCGCTAATGTTTTGTCTAAGAAAGAACAAAAAATGGAAAAGATGGGGTAAAGAAATCCGTTTGATTTCTCTATAAATTACAAAGATGTTGGATGTTGCAATTTAAAAAAAAAAGAAAAGAAAAAAAATCGAGATATGAGGAATCTAGAGATTATTCAATAAGATGACGTAATAACAAAGAGTAGAACAACGATCGTCAGATGAAGTTGATGAATCGATCTAAAGTAACGCGTGCTCGCAGCATCATTCTGTGCGTCCAGTTGGGTCGGTGCTGAATGTGCGGGCGCAGGTGCTGGTGCTGGATAAGAGGAGGAGGAGGAGGAAGATGAGGACGAAGAGGATGAAACTTTAGAATTCTTCGCTAGGACGATACTTGGCAGAGAGTTGGAGTTATTTCTTCTTGAGATCGGCGTGGTCTGCGTCCAACTTCCAACATTTCTCTGCGTCGAATTCGTACTACCTTCATCTCGTTCTAACGCATAGGAGGAATACTTCTTGCTGTGACTCCTCCTCTCTGTTAGCTTTCCCCACTTTTGCCTCTCGACGGATTCGGTATTGCGAATTGTCGGTGCTGTCGTCCTCGACAGATGCAACTCTGTAACCGTTTTATGGAAAATTTTCTCTTCCTTCACTTTCTTTCTAAGAATACATATGTGTATTCGTGAAAAGTAGTTGGACCTTTGGGGTTATCCGAATCAAAATTTCAATCTGAACAATTGTTTTAGATCGCTAATCTATCCCAAAAATTTATAGGACCAACCTTCTCATGAATATCCGCTTGTTAAAAATGGAAATGAATTTGTGTTATTTTACCTTGAAGTCTTATAGTACCCTCTGCCTTCCCGTATGGATTTTCCGCTGAACAAATATAACTACCGAAATCGTTTCTAGTTAAATGTTTGATCGTCAGATTTAATTGATACGCGTATTCGTTGATCGTGAACTCCGATACGTTGTGCTTGTCGTTCGTCAAAACTTTTATTCCTATCAAAATAATTTTCACTTTTTTTCATTTTTTCTTTTTTTTTTACAGATGAATTGCGATTATTATTTCTGATGAAAACTCACCGTTGTCCTTGTACCATGTGTTCGAAGCTCTAGGAGAGGATTCAACGTAACACTGTAAAACGACATTGCTATTCGTCGGAGCAGCTACCAACTGATTCGTTACTTTGATCAAAGGCTTAACTGTAAGTAAATGAACTTTCCTATTAATCGTATAGCTTTCATTTTAATCTACTAAGAAGTTTGTTCTTGTTTATAACTTACATCGAACGTTGACGTGATATCTTTTACTAACTGTTGGTGGTACACCGTTCGATGCTATGCACAAATACGAGCCCATCTCCTGTCGTAAAATCCCTGTTAGATGCAGTTGTTCACCCTCGTAGAATTGTACTTTAAAATGAAATTTTATTTTATTTTATTTTTAAGAGCCCTCCGGAGATGATTTTTAATTTTATGAGGGTGGAAAATGAAATGTCACGAAAAAAGAAAAAAATAAAAAAGAAACGAAAAATATTGATATTTATTAGATCAGTATTTGTAATAATATAAGACAAATTATAATTAAATGCATAATATTAATAACATAATATTAATTTAAGAAAATATTGGAACAAGTAAATAGAAATAAAAAAAAAAAGTAGTGTTATAAAACTAATATGACTGATCAGATTAAAGGTAATAAATTGATTGAAGCATAGATATAGAGAGGATCAATATTCTTGTTCAGGTGAAAATTGAGAAAAGAAAAAAAAAGAACGGTTTAAAAGCACTTAGGTAGGATGTACAAACTAATAAAGACATTACACGCTACTGTCGATAGATTTTAAAAGGAAAATCGCGGAATTGCTGGTACGATGGAGATACCGGTGGCTGGTATACACTCTCGCGACGCAATGTACACACTGAATATTGCAATCGGATAGACGAAGAGTCGATGGGCTTGGTAGAGAGGAAATATATGTAAAGTCAACATCCATCACTCACTGTTAGAAAGGCTAATCGGATGGTTGCTTTTCCGCGGGACATCGTTGAATCTACGTAACGGAGTGTTCGGCCTTTTCATCGTTACTACGAAAAAGTCTCGACGATGATGACTACATGGAAAATATATTGTCGTCGCAAATCTATCACGTCGTTGGCTTCTCTCTTCACCCTTCCTCCTCACCCTTCCTTCATTCGGTTTGATCAAAACCGAATAGAAAATTTTCATCGTACAAAGGACGGACGACGGTATCGTTCAAAAGAAATAAATGATAAAAACATTCAATGGATTTTTCAAACATTGATTGATCTCCAAATGAACGTATATTAACACATTGTTAATCTTTGTTACGAATATACAATTTACCTATATGCATATATATATATAACTTCAATATAAATATTACTTAAACGTAATTTTCTTCAAATTTTTTAATATATTAACACACTCTCAACCTATAAACGAAAATTCATATATTACCATATTTATTTTATTTCACAATATTCTTATGCAACAATAAATACCAATCCGATAATACAATAAATCTATAATTAAATTACATCTATAATAGGCGTATATTCACTTAATTCGTTATCGGTAGGTTGATAATGTATTAACGATTTTAATCGAATTATATATAACATAGTTCTTGGAACAATGCGTTAACATTCTGTTTGTCTCTATCAGTGAATTTGATCAGCCTTTTAAACCGTTTTATGTACCTTTATAATCAACATACATTATCTATATGTTTATTATATAGATACATACATTGTAATGGATAAAAGGAATATAAGATAATACCTCGTTTAACACCTAACTCACTCCTAAGAGTAATTTCTCGTCCATCCTCTCTTCGCCAGATGACCATAGGTTTTGGTGTCCCTGTAGCACGACATCGTAATCGTAGATCGTCGCTTTCCTTAGTCGTTAAAAGGTCAGCCGATTCGTCGAGATCCATGATATCAGGTGGTATCACTACTTTCATGTAGCCCGTCTGTGTAACATTTGTTACTGACTAACACATACTACTACTATTGATGCAATGGTTAGTAAAGGGTCTACTACTATCAACCACCCTACTTCTTTGCCTTACCCATATATGTATATTTATTACATACGTCCTATTCATATTCGACTATTGCGATTGCATGGCCGAGATTTATCATTAAGCTCGGTTTTAGAGTACGAGAGAAAGCATTGAGTCGAGCGATATTTGAATGCAAATAATAGGACCGCTAAGGGACCTAGTTTGAGTGAGAGATAGATTTTTCTTATGAATTTCTTACAAATATTATTCGATTGACTAATAAGTAATATTGAAATTTTTATGAATCTGTAAGTTATGTTTAATAAGATTATTATAATATTTTTTTTGTTTAATTATAAAAAATATTAACTTTACTTTATATGCAATAAATAGCACTGTAGTATTTTTGTTTTTATTTGAAAAATTTTTAAATATCTCTTATATTGAAATAAATATATTTTATTCGAAAAAAACATCATCGGTATTTTTGTTTTATATTAAAAATTTCGACAATTATTATTGATCAATCCAATAGATCCTTAATGGTTTACATTATCCTTAAAAAGAAAAGATTTTCTTCCTCTTTTTTTATCTTGTTTCTGAGTACACCGATCGAGAACGAAATATTTAATATACTTTTCGTAGAGAAATATAACATGATAGTTCTTAGTTTTTTTTTTAAATTTATTCAATCCCAACTGTCTTATCTGTCTCTTAGAACTTGTTTAAAGAAAATATTGTACATCGAGGCATAACATGCTATATAAATATTATCTCGCTTACATTCTCGGACAAGCATATTCTAGTCGAAGTTCCGAAAACAATAATAGTTGAAAGCGAGAATATACGATGAGAAAACACCGCTTATGATCTTTGTTTAATCCAAAGATAAAAGTATATTTAATATTTTCAATTGTTTCAGTGTGTTCCTTTTCTTTTCTTTCTATTTTTTTTTTTATTCTTTTTATTGATTTCACTAACCTGACTATTCATGGGGTCCGTATTAATCTGACACATGTAAGTTCCAGAATCGTTAGGTTGAACGTTGCTAATATGAAGCTTCCAGGTATTGTGTCCGTTATGGGTGACCGAAAGTCGTGGGTTATGAGCAACCATGTGAGTATGAATAGCTAGTATGGCTCTCGAATCTGATTTTATCCAGGCAATCTGTTTAATAAAAGAAATTATGCAAATTAACATTAATTGTGTATATATGTTAATCCTAATACAATATATACATTATACATGTAATAGGAATAGAGGTCATACATTATTTTTTTAAGCAAACTCTCTTCCCTTAAAACACTCGAACGAAAAGCAAATTGTATGACTCGTTACTTCGTACCATTCGTAACGAGAGTCATTCAGGATAAATGGTGCAAAGCGTGCCGCGTACTGCAGCTAAAAACCGAATGGTTAAAAAAGGGAGGCGAATAGAGAGGGAGAGAAAGAGAGAGAGAGGGGGAAAGTGAACAATCACCACGGTTTTTAGCTTCTACTTACAATTAGCAAACGCTAGAAATATGGGATCCAACGCTAGCTGGAGTTCTCTTTTTTTTTTTTGTTGTTTTTTAAACGAAAACAAAAAACAAGAAACGGAAGTAACTGCGAACTCTTCGTTTTAACACGTTAGTCTTGAAATATGGCGTCAAGGTTCTCGTTAAAAGTGTTGCACATTGATATTTTTGAAATAATACTTATATACAACTTTGTCAAAATAATTATTTATATTATATTATAATGTATATATATATAACATATACCTATATATATATAAATACATATATATACATCACGGTGTAAACGAAAGATCATTTTTTAGTTAGAAATTTTCTTCTCGAAAAAAAAAGGCACGAAAGAATACATATATATATTTATATGTGCATATATAAAGATATCAACAATTTTGTTCACATGAACGTAAATCTTCTTAGTTCTTCTCGATACTGATATCAATTTATTAATATATCCTCACTTCGATAAAACTTCGGAAACACTTTAAAGAAAGTCGGAATCTTATAAATTTTTAATAAATCCAATTGATATAAAATTCTATCTCGTTATAAGTTCTAACGTCCTTTCCCCTTACTTTTCTTTTTATTATATATAATATAACAAAAGAGAATTTTTAATAGACGTGACAGACGACGATATTAATTTACAAAATAAAAAATATTATTTAAATCAAAGTTAAAAATACACACATAATTAATAATTAATACGATGTGATCGGAAATTCCATCTTTCATATGAAAACAAGATTTAGTATCGTACATAAAAATATAATAAATGGAAAAAGAAAATTTAAATCGTTCGTGAAAAATGAAGTGCATTCCAACTTGTATTTTGAGATCTTATTAAATATTAGTTGCTCTGATTTATGTCTTTTCTTTCAAATCTTCTTTTTAACCTCCCAATCCCGTATTCTTCACATTCTTTCGATAGCGGTACATACAGTTTGGCCACGACTTTTCTTCAATTTCTATGTACTTTATCATGTATTTACTACTCCTTTTGCGATCGCGTACACTTTGAGAATCAATTGTTGATTCGAACATGCAATCAAACTCGGACTTCTTCTTCAAAGTGAATTACTTTTCCGAGCTTCTTTTCGACTTTGCTTCATTTTTATATAACCATTTAAATATAGCACATATGTATTACCAATTTTATTTTGCATTTTGATGAATGCATATTGATTTATATGTATCAGCTCGGTATAAATGAAAACAAAAAAAAAACAAAAATATCACTTAAAAAGTTCAGTTAAGTTTTAATATTATAACGTGACCAAGATAACGCACATATTATTATATCTAAATAATATTGAAATAGTAAATAATTTTAAGCTACAAATTTTGTATTTATTTCGATAGAATATATATATATATATTGGAGCCTATCAAAATTTTTCAATCCATTCCACGTATAAATTATCCAAATCGCAAATAAATGTATTATTTTTCATATCTTTCCCTCTCACACATTCTGTTTTTTTACATGTTCAGCGAGCATGAAAACTGTCCATCCATTTAATGTTACAGTATCTACTATACATATACAGTACATGATCTGTGTGTGTGAATGAATGTGAATAGCTATTATGGATAATGCGCGATCAGTCTGAAGCACGTCGTGTATTTACGGAAACACGATTTAGGCCAGCACTTATACGATTTAGGCCTCGCCGGCCTTAATCGACTAACTAATTAAACCTACACCTAGATGCAATTACCTTGTAAGATTGAAGATGATTAACGACGCAGGTGAAGGAGACGTCACGGCCCTGAGTGACCGTATGATTCTCCAAAGGTGCCAGAAACTGCGGCCGTAGATCCAACCTTGGCAAAGTTTGACCTGCATCATGCGATTAACTATTAGGATTAGATATCGAGCTTAACGTTTTATCTTTCTATCTTATTAGATACCCAACTCTAATGTTCTTCAAATTTTACTCATATATTTTATATTTTAACAAGAAAATTATTATTATTATTGACAATATATATTCCATAATTATAATATTAATATAAATACCTCATCTATATAAATCGTATTAATATAATACAAAATTTGACTATCTCATGTCAGTGTTGTTAAATTAACATTAACGTAAGAAACGTATAAAGAAATAGAAAGAAAAAACAAGAATAGAATATAAAAAATAAAATCTTTCGATTAAAAATGCACGCGATATTAATTAGTTACACGTTTCGCAATTCGAGCCTACTTCTCAGCATGCGTCATCGTTTTAATTTAATCTGATATGTCACACGTGCCAGTGTATTTAATACCCTTCGTTAAATATCCATCATGGGGCTTACTTTCTCTTTCTCTTCTACTTTTCAACCCTTTCTTATAAACTTGGTTAAAGGGTGGACGACTTAAGGGAAAGAAAGAATGGGATAGGAAGGTGGGAGTGTCTTATTCGAAATATAATTAATTAATTGAACACGTTGAATAATTTCATCGCTCATTGTTAAATTACTTGGAAAGAGGAACTTGCTAATGTATTCCTTGTAGCATCTACTTTGTTATTAGTTTAAGAAGAAAGAAAATCGATTGGTTCTTTGTGGTGGGTAGTCAATATACAAAAATCGAACTTGTATTGTCTTACATTAGTTGGATCGGTGAGTTGCCCGGGGATCGATTAAATAGTCAAGGATATACTTCTTGTACCTTTTGAAAAGTTATCAAAGTTTAAAGTATCGATTACACCTAACCTATCCTCCAATCTCGATTTTAGTTGATGAGAGGGGTGGGGGGGAAAAAAAAAGAATCATAACTTTAATTCTTTCTCTTTTCTTTATTTTTTTTTATTTCTCATTACTTTCTTTCCTTTCTTTTTTTTCCTTCCTCGGGCTTTTTATTTTTATTTTTTTTTTATGTTGTTTTTTCTTTGTTTTTGTTTTCTTTTTTTTTTTTATGTAATTTCCAGAACTTATCGACTTAGGTGCATCGGTTGTACTTCAACGGAAACTCGAAAAACTTTTCCTCGCGATAGTACCTTTGAGAAGATTTCGTTCGATTTATTTTAAAAGTGGAACAAGCAAAGAGAAAATACAGTTAGAAAGAGAGAGAGAGAAGGATAGAAGCGTGGACAGTCAGATTTGTTTCTGTCATCTCAAGGCATACAAAGAAAAACCCTCCGCTAGGTTTCCTACCATACCCTTTAACTTTTGCTTACCTTATTTTCACTAAGAAAGAAAGAAAGAGAGAGAGAGAGAGAGAGTAAAAAACTAGAGGAAGGATCGTATAAATAAGGGGCACAGAGAGTAAAGCAAGTTTGCGGCTTTGGTATATCTACTACGTATCATTTGTCTCTTACCGAAACTAGAGTAAAGGAACGCTGTGAGAAGGAAGCAAGTAACGAGGTCCCGCGATGCCATGCCATAGGGTGGGCCATGCGCCATACGTGCTGTAAACAATACAAGTAATTCATCTTCAGAGATACCAAAATAAATATAATATTTTTCGTTACATTTTATCCCTCTCTTTGTTTTTCATCAATTATATAGAAAATCTAAATATAATTTGTCATTTTTATAAACAATTTTTAAAAATATATATTATATAAATTATTATTAAATTAATGACATATATATATATATATTTGGAAATGATAAGATTAATTATTGTGTATCATTGTTCCACGCGAGACACAAAGATAAATATACGATTTAAATGAAATTTCTTAATCATAAAATAATGCCAGTTTTATCGTAAGGTAAATAATATTTAATAACAATTAGGGTCTTTCTTATTACATAAATTAAAAATTCTATTCTTAATGAATTAATGTGATATTTCAAAAAAAAAAAAAAATTATGATAATATTTGGCAATTGTTAAAACTTACGGATGGATCATAAAAAATATTGAAAATTAGTTTTAGAAAGAAAGAGAGAGAGAGAGAGAGGAAAATTAAAATCAGGAATTGGTCTACGTTGTCAACGTGACTTCCCTCCCTAAGTAAAAGTGAGCGTGTGAATGAGTGAGTCTGAGAGATAGAGAAAGACCGAAAAGAGGGAGAAGAAGGGGAGAGGGGGTCAGCTTCGAATCGCGTGAATATTAACTCGACAGTTGGTCGCCACATAAACGCCAACCGTTGATATATCCTACCCTTTGCCATCCTCAACCCCGTGACTTCCTCAGTCCCTTACCAACCAGCACCGCAATAATACTCGAATGGTAGCTATTCCTACCCCTTCAACCAAGCACCCAGCCAGTCACCCACCAACCAACCAACCAACCAACTACCCCATCCACCCTACTCCTCTTCTCTTCTCTTCTCTTCTCTTCTCTTCTCTTCGACTACGCACACTTCTATCGAGACATTCACATTCACTTGCGTGCAAATGCTGTGAACGTTCGTTGCTTGCTGCCCACCAATGTGAAAGAGAGAGAGAGAGAGATAGAGAGAAAAAGAGAGAGAGAGAGAGAACCAAAGAAACAGTCGAATGAAAATTTTACTCGCGCCTTTGCTCTTATTCTGCGCACTTTACCCCTTTTATGTGACTTCGACGAAGTTAACGTTTCCTTTTGCTCCTAACCGAAATTCTATTCTCGCTTACGTGTGTTTAATCTAAACGCGAGAACACGAAATTTGTCGTGGAATTTCTTCAATTCGTCTTATTTCACTTTTCCTTTTTTTCTTGTTTCTTTTTTTTCTTGTTTCTTTCTTCGTTATTGTTAGCTTAATATTTATTGAATAAGTGTACGTTTAATGAATAATCATTATTTATAATAAAATATGAGTAACTATGTATCTTGCATCAATATATAATCACTATTATAAATACTGATCATTTATCTTATAAATATTAACAAATAATAATTTCTATTTTGAACAAAATATTCATATAGATTGATCATTTATTTCACGAAATATTGATACAAAAAAGTATAGGGGTGGTTTTGTTTCATTTTTATATTACACTTTAATCAAAATTCGTTGAATACTTTAATATTTTTATTGTTATTTTTTCTATAAAAAAAAAAAAGTATAAGAAATGAAATTTAATATGCACATTTTTACCTCTTTCTCTCTCTCTCTTTTTCTTTTATGGAACATTACACTTAGGTATCAATCAAAAAAGATTGGTTAAATTCCAAGCAAGTTTACCGATCATTTCTCGTCGGAGGCCTTGTAAGAAGTAGATCAAATTACTTTGTTGGTTGAACGTTCTCGTAAAAATGTGAATATGAAAAAAAAAAAATTAAATAAAAATAAAAATGAAAATAAACGTTTACAAGAAATCTCACCACAACTCTACTCCGAGATGTTTTCAAGAGCTATGGTGTATAAGCATAAAAAAGATGTCCTGTTTGGACAACAAGGTAATTGCTCCTTGGACGACGAAGAACCGAGTAAAAATAGCTGTCACCTTTTTTAGTTAAGCTTATGTCTCCTTTGTGTACCGTGCTTGTATCGTAAGAGAAATTGCAATGACACTCTCTCTCTCCCTCTCTCTCTCTCTCTCTCTCTCTTTCTTTTTAGCGAATGAAAAATGAATAGAAAATCGAATCTCATTTTCTCACTGTTTTTATTTTTAAATTATATTCCGGCTCGTAGAGATATACCAATTTGTCCAATCCAACATTAATGTTTACGTGTGTGTGGATAGAATTCATGAGTAGGTATAATGTTTCAATTGATAATTAATACCTTTGTTAAGATACGTATATATATGTGTGTGTGTGTGATACAGTTTGATAAGTAAATAAAAATTTAACAAATTAAAAAACTGTAAATTAATATGAAATTAATAATTTTGTATACTAACATAAACACAAATATATATCATATATAAATTTGTAATATTTGATTGATTAAAAATGATTATTCGTAAAATAATTTAATTTGATTAAACTAAACTTTTGTTAACTGAATCATTTTCAAAGCATAAGAGAGTGGACGGTGGTACACCCTTATGTACATATGTACATTGTGGCAACACGAATCGTAGATATGTACACGTTGCTGCTTCCATGAATGTATCTCCCTCTTCAAATGAAACGTTCTGTTAGGCACTGGTGCCTTGAAAATTGCCAAACGTGGTTGGTTTACTGAAGGTTCCTTTCAATCAAAATACGCTTGTGTACCATACCGATTCTTGCAAATTATAATTTCATTTAATCATTCTAGAAGACCGCGTCTACTGATTCCCATAAGAAATATGCTTGAAATATTAGAAAAAGAAAAAAAAATAAATTAATACCTAGAAAAAAAAGGGCCGTACTTGTGTTGGCATATTTTAATTAATATATTTATTAATTTTTTTATTAATTATATAAATAATAATCAAAATATATGTGAGATAATTATAACTATTTTATCAAATTTTCTTATATTCAATGAAAATACCACCTTAAAAAATAAATAAATATTACTATAAAAAAAAACACACATTTATACCACAATACCAAAATGCATAAATAAATTAACACAAACATAAACAAATAACGAATACAATATTCATTTTAGAACCAAATTTCAAACTGAAAGGATACAAAGAACTGTAAAAGTAAACTTCGAACTTAACGGAAAGATAGCATAAAAAAGAAAAAGAAAATAATATTTTAAACGAAGGCGGAGTTCTATTCCATTCGTAGAAAGTATTATATATAACAGCAGGTAGTAGTAGCAGTAGTAGCAGCAGCAGCAACAGCCCAAGAGTGAATTTACAAAAAGACTCTGAGAGTCTTAAACGTTGGAGCTTAACCAAAGGTACATCGAAAAGGTAGAGTGCAGCTCTAACAGCGTGAAGACTCTAAGTAGAAGGCAAAGAAGATGGAAGAGAAAGAGAAGGGAAGAAGGGAGGAAGAGAGGAAGGGAGGAAGGAAGGGTGGTAGAGGGTGGTTAAAAGATAGAAAGTAAGTTTGGTTCTATTTTCTTTCTCTCTCACTCGTACGAACGAGATTCGAAGAAGGGGGTTGGAAGGTACCCCTTACTCGGTACGAAGCTCTTTTTCCTTGGATCACTCGCGATCTTCCCAAAGTCTTTCCTTTTTCTTCTTTCTCCTATTCTGACTTCTCGAATGCTTGAGAGGAAATAAAAGTTACTCGGTGGCATCATCTATCCGTTCATTTTATCAAGTCTTCCTGCCTTCCTTCCTTGCTTGCTTACTTACTCGTTGCTATTATTTACGAATTTTCTTTATTTTACCCTCTGCTTGTAATTTTGTTGTTCTTCTCTTACTTTTTTTTCTCACGCCCTAACATTTCCAAGCCCAAAAGATATTTCCCGCTTATCAAAGTACGACACTTTCACCTTGGGACTTTTGCCAAACTATGAGAAAGAAAAGGAATATGGTGTATACATAAGTAAGTACTCGTAGAATCGTTCAACACCTACTTTACATTTGGCTAATCCTCTTGGTGGATTAACTCCATGAGAGTCTTACGTTGTTTTTGCGTTTGAATAAAAACGTCTCTACTCCCCAAGATTTGGAAATTTTATTCAAAATCTCCGAAAGATATCGTTTGTTATACAGGAACAAAAAATTGTTTATGATTTTTAACTCTCTCTCTCTCTCTCTCTTTTTCTCTTGTAATTAGATATTACGAATTTAGTGAAAAAACAAAAAACTTTTTTCTACTCTAGACGATGTAGATATAGGATATACAATAGAGGACAGAATTCTCTCAAAGCAGACGAAACGGTAACGATACTCGACATTACACACCATAGAACACAAACCGAATCGAACTCGAAATCGAGTTCAAGGAGTACTTTGATGGATGTCATCTATGTATGTATATTGTATGTCGCGTTATCAGAAGGTCCGATTAGTGTAGTTTATGCGGCACGCGTTTGGTACGCCACTAGCTAAATACCATACAACCCATAGGCATTCAAGTTTCCTTTGATCACTGATCTACCTTTAATACGTGCCGTAGTGTGTCTTTCAAGGAGCATCTTATATCTTCTTTGTCGTTTCAATCGAAGGATTATATTCTATTGTACCAATAAATTTAATAAACATACACATACACACATGTATATATATATATACATATAATATAATATATGCTTTTATTTATTTGATCAGTATTTTGTAAAATAAATATTTTGAGTGTATGAATATTTTTTGTTAATTATAATAATTTATTAGTATTTTATAAATAGAGATGATTAATATTTATAATGAGAACAGGTTGTTTAGGATTGCGTTAGGTTACATATTAATACAAAATATGTATTTTTATTTAACCACAATATTTAAATACTGATCATTTATTTATAAAACTGGCCAAAAAAATTATTAAAAAATAACAATCATAAATGAATAGATACACATATAATACATCATATGCGTATGAACGAGTATTAATAAAATATTCAAGAAAACTCAGATTTGTTTTTCTCTTGAAAATTCTTACAATAAGTGCAACATGTTGTTCAAACTTATAGTCC